CAAAATGTCAAAGCCCAAGCCGAGATATTTTTGCAAGAAGCTTGCTGTTCAAGAGGATGAATTCCCTGAAGTCACCATCAATATGACTGATAAAGAAAAATCTAAGTGGCATTCAAGTGAATCAAATCCCGACTTTTCACCGGGAGGAAAAGTTAATTCAAGAATTGCCCAACGGATGTCTCGACTCCAGTTAGCAGCTATCAGACGTAGAGATTACAAGAGAATCAAGAATTGCCCAACGGATGTCTCGACTCCAGTTAGCAGCTATCAGACGTAGAGATTACAAGAGAATGCAAGAAGGAATGTCCTCGGAGGATGAACTCTCGGACACTTGTTCTGCAATCGCTTCGGATGATACAATATCTAGCACGGGACAAACCAAAGAAGTGTTCACAATCACTTCTGATCAGTTTGCTCAAATGCTTCAAGAAGCTCTAGCGAAGCAACGTGAAGAAATTAGAGCTGAGATGAAGATGGAGATGGAGTTGGCTATTCAACAAATGAGATAATTGCTAACTCAACGGTCTCAACTTCCTGAGTCCAGTCAGCGAGCTGAATCCAGCCGCCGCACTCAAAATATTACAGATGACAGTGATCCGGAAGTGGATGAAGTCATCTTTGCTGATGCACCTCCTAATAACGATAACACTGGGGGTGGTTCAACGGATCCTCCTAACAACGATATTGGGGGTAGTTCAATCGCACCTCTTAATAATACTGGGGGTGGTCCAATTATTTCTCCTCAATATCACTCAAAGAGAGATGAAGATGAGGACAAGAAAATGCAGGATCTTGAAAACAAAGTCAATGCTTTGATGTCCGCTCAGGAAGTAAAGAAGACGGGTATTCCTTATCCCTATCCAAGAGAATGAGATTCAATACCGTACCCGGCAAAGTTCAATCTGATTAACTTCACACCATTTGATGGGAAGAGCTCGCCTACTCAGCACTTGATTTATTTCAAGTCTCATTTGGGCATGATCTCTGGAAATGAGGCTTTAATGGTCCGGTCATTCGTTAGCACCCTTCGTGGGCCCGTCTTCGATTGGTACCGACATCTCAAGCCAGGGAACATCAATTGCTGGGATGACATGAAAAGTTTGTTCCTCAGCAATTTTTTCGATGATGACACCGAAGTGTCAATCGGAACCCTTTTAGATGAGAAGCAAAAAGACGGAGAGTCAGTCGATAATTTTGTCAAGCGCTTCCGTAACAAGATAATGAATTGCAGAGATCTTGTTACAGAGGAGTTCATCCTGCAAACATGCCACAATAATCTCTTCATCGATGTCCTGGAAGCCCTGGGGGTCGTACCATCCGAGACTTGGAAAGATTTGAAAATACGCGGTGAACAAGCTGAACACTTTCTTAAAAGAAAGAAAGCTGAGAGAAGCCGACCGACGACATCTGCAATCGCTGGGAACGCGACTCTCGATCCGAAGTTTCAAAAAGAGTATTCTTTCGAAAATGATGAAGCTCCAGCCATATTGAAATACCTCCTCGCCAATGACAAAATCGAGCTACCACATATTAAAGATCAGGAGGGAGCTAAGAGAATTACGGATCCAAACTACTGTGCGTACCACAGAAGGGTTCTTCATCCCACAGAGATTTGCTTCGGACTCAAAAACAAAATCCAAGCCTTAATTGACTCCGGCGTCATAACGGCAAAACAAGCCAAGTAAAAACGACTCATACTCCATTGGGTAAAGTTCCTTGAGAATTTTTACATGTAATATTCTTAAGGATAACCCGGTCATGTAACTCAACATGATGTTAGACCCAGTTTCGCGAAGGAAGCTGGGGGTGGATGGTTCATGTAACGGGAAGTTCTCGGAAGAATGCTATATGTAATTTTCTTAGGGATAACCCGATCATTACAAACAAAGTGATAAACACTACATCCCCACGGTGATTTCCGAATACTCTTTTGCTGAGATGAGATTCGATCATTTCTTTAGATCAATCTCCCCTCACAAAACTCATATTTGGTCAAACCTTTAAACAGTTAGGGCCAAAACCAAAATCCCCTCTCGATTCCTTCCATGAACGAGAGGTCCACAAATTGAGCGATCAAACCTTTAAACAGTTAGGATCGTCTTAAATCCCCATTTGGTCAAACCTTTAAACAGTTAGGGCCAAAGCCAAAATTCCCTCTCGATTCCTTTCATGAACGAGAGGTCCACTCAAATTGAACGGTCAAACCTTTAAACAGTTAGGATCGTATCAAACTCATATTTGGTTAAACCTTTAAACAGTTAGGACCAAAACCAAAATCCCCTCTTGATTCCTTCCATGAACGAGAGGTCCGCAAATTGAACGATCAAACCTTTAAACAGTTAGGATCGTCTTAAATTCTCATTTGGTCAAACACTCCTACAGTTAGGACCAAAACCAAAATCCCTTCTCGATTCCTTCCATGAACGAGAGGTCCACAAATTGAACGATCAAACCTTTAAACAGTTAGGATCGTCTTAAATCCCTATTTGGTCAAACCTTTAAACAGTTAGGGCCAAAGCCAAAATTCCCTCTCGATTCCTTCCATGAACGAGAGGTCCACTAATTGAACGATCAAACCTTTAAACAGTTAGGATCGTATCAAACTCCCATACGGTCAAAACTTTAAACAGTTAAGACCAAAACCAAAATCCCCTCTCGATTCTTTCCATGAACGAGAGGCCCACAAATTGAGCGATCAAACCTTTAAACAGTTAGGATAGTCTCAAACTCCATACTTGGTCAAACCTTTAAAGATTCTCTAAGTGGAGATCCCACTTTGAGTTTCTTTTGCACCAGGAGATAGAATATAAAATTCTTGCTCTCCAATTTCGGGTTTATCTCTACCAACAAACAAGAGAACATGAGATAGAATATAAAATTCTTCCTCTCCGATTTCGGGTTCATCTCTACCAACAAACAAGAGACCAGGAGATAGAATATAAAATTCTTCCTCTCCATCATCGGGTTCACCTCTACCAACAAAAAAGAGACCAGAATACTCCAATAGGTATACGAGTCTAAACTATTTTTCTAATCTCAACAGGAAGTTTCTGGAGAATATCACTCAGAATATTCTTAAGAATAACCTGAATACTCCAATAGGTATACGAGTCTAAACTGTTTCCCTACCCTCAACATGAAGTTTCTGGAGAATATTACTTAGAATATTCTTAAGAATAACCTGAATACTCCAATAGGTATACGAGTCTAAACTGTTTCCCTACCCTCAACAGGAAGTTTCTGGAGAATATTACTTAGAATATTCTTAAGAATAACCTGGCTACCTCCCAACGAGTATATAAGGTTAACTATTTCTCGAAAAAAAAATAATAATAAATACATGAGTATAAACTGTGTTCTTATGAAGACCGATACAGTGATTAACAATCCAGTATCGATTTGATGACAAAAGCTGAATTCACAAGTACAAATTCCAGCTTCGATTCAAGATCTCGACAACGGTCAGGCGATAAACGTAGTACCGGAAGAATCTTAACTATTCTACAAAGCACTGGATAGATTGAGAGATAAAAAGGTCAAGAGTTGAACTCATTTATGAGCCCCTCTCCACGATCCACTCAACCAAGTATTGAAGGGACTGTGAGTCACGCCTATCTTATCTAAAGTATCCCAGACTCCTCTATAAAAGAATTAATCTGGAATACTTTGGAGGGTGTATCTGTAGGCGTCAAAAAATGCTGAAAGATATCCAAATACATCTCAAGAGGAGATCATCCAAAAATCAAAAGAACACAAGTATGGACTGTCTCGCACGCGAGACAGTGTTTACTGTCTCGCATGTGAGACAGTCTTTACTGTCTCGCCATGCGAGACAGTATTTGCTGTCTCGCCATGCGAGACAGTGTTTACTATCTCGCACGCGAGACAGCTCTCAAAGACTTAGAAATTGTTTTATAAACCGCCGACACGTAGCCATTAACTGCCAAAGAACATGGGAAATGTCGTGGGCGAGAATCACGTTGACAACTGCCAAAATAACGGAGTTTTAAAACGTGGGAAAGCAGTTACAAAACTGTCAGGCAGTTTAAGTTTTCTGAGACAGTGTTTACTATCTCGGAACCCGAGACGGTCTTTACTGTCTCGGCCGTCGAGACAGCAAACACTGTCTCGGAAGCACTGTTCATCCAGGGGTTATAAATACCCCCCTGAGATCGATTCTTGAAGGGGCTGATCAGAGAGCAGAAGGCTGAGCATTTTAGAGCATACAGAGCAGAGTTCCTGAGCTTCTGGCAATTCCTTGAGATTCGAGCTTTGACTTGATCTTAAGAAGAGTGATCATCTTACTTTGATAAGATATTCACTTCAAATTCCTACTTCGATAAACGAAGGAAGAACCACTAAACTCCTCACGATTCAATCAGAATCTGTGATTCGGTGGTCCACGAGTCAAAGCACTCCCGGCACAGGCAAAGATCCCGCGCAAGCAGCGATCCAAACAACGATCCTGCGTTTGTTTCTAAGGAGTTTGTAATTTGATTTTTGTTGTAAAGAGTAGTTTTACAAACTGCGAAACTTACTCCTTTGTATTCATTGTAATCGATAAACAGTTATAATGAATTCTACAACATAACCTATTCCTGACGCAAACATAGGTTACAACAGAAAAACTATGTTAAGTGTCAAAATATATTCCCTTGAAACGAGAAATATGTGAGTTAGTACAAGTTGGATGCAGTGGCTTATTGTGGATTAGTAGCTGACAAAGGAATTAATGATATTAGAAAAAGGAATTAATGATATTAGATAACCTGCCTTCTGTAGGGAATGAAGCTTCTGAATGTTTCATTTACATTAATTCAAGTTTCAAGGTTATTGCGGCACAAACGTCTTTGTATCCTTTGCGTTCCGCTTCTCTTCCACCTGATAAATTGCAACTGTTTCAAGAGGGAAAAAAATTGCTTGAGGCATCTTTCTGTTTATCAATACGAAAAACATTATGGTTATATCTGGTCATCTTAATAATTCCTTCCCTTTTGCAGGCGTCTACTGGTGTTTCAGATGAAGATTTTGTTTCATATGTCAGCAAATGGCGTGATGCCGGAGCTTCTCTTATAGGGGGCTGTTGCAGGACGACACCGCGGACCATCAGCGCCATATCCAGGGTTTTAAATGTGGATCGTGATAACTAGCTATTTCAATAAGTAAACGAGTTAATTAGCGGCCTTAGAAAATGTGCAATAGTACGGTAAAGGAAAGATTTTGAGCGCACGCTCTGATGTAATTCGAGCATATGCCAGAAAATGTGCACCGTAAGCTAGAAGAGCTGAAACTTTGCTGAGTATGTAACTGTAGCTTTATGTATTGTAATGAACATGATAAATTTGTATGAACTGTCGGTTCTGAGTGGATTTGTGTGCTTTATCTGTGGAGTAATTTATTGTTTCTGAATGGTTAGGTTTTGAGTTGTATGGCAAGAAATTCTTTGTTGATCTAATGATCACTATTTATACGCTTTCAGTCTTATCAAACATGGATATTGATGATATTGTATATCCTAGTATTCATACTTACATGTAAATATGATAAAACATGTATGTCATCTAGGGGTGTGTTCGGTCCGGATACGGCTCGGATATGATACCTACCTATTATATCTGTATCCACTTCTCAATTGTCGATACGAATGTGTTGGTAAGGAAAATTTATATCCACATTAGCTAAAATAGGATACGTTTACAGCTATGTATTAAGATATATAAGGAAATATACATGCAGATGTAAAACGGATATAATAATCCTAGATCATGTTGAAAAAATATTGTTGATATGATACAAGAGAGTTCATTAATATGCGCCTTATATTTGAGAAGCTAAGATCTAGATATTTTAATCATGAAAATTAACTTTAAATCCATTAATATAAGGATTAAAATTGTTGCAACAATATGACCAATATATATTCAGGTATTTTGGATACGGATTCAGATATTTGACTACATAACTATATTCGTAACCACCCACTTATAGATTTTAGTAACCATATTCGCATCCTAACATATACAGACAAATATTTCTCGAATACGGATATTTTTGTGCGCCTCTAACACTGCCACCTAATATACAAAAATGTATATAACACCTTTTAAAAAAAAAGATTGTATACGATCTATTTTGGTGACTACAATAATGATCCATTAAATAAGGCTTAATTGCACAACCCTCTACTGTTTTCCTTTGCACTTACATACTCTCACTTGTTTTTGGCATTAGTTATACACCTAAAGTTTTTAAAACTTTCACTTATCTATTTTTAATTTATTTTGACAGCACTTATATACCCTAAAATTCTTATAACTTGAATTTATATACCCTAAAGTTTATAAAACTTGCACTTTAATACCTTAATTATGCAAATTTGAGGGTATTTTGAGTGCAAGTTTTAAAAATTTTAGGGTATTTAAGTGCCATTTTAAAAACTTTAGGGTATTTAAGCGCAAGTTTTAAAACTTTGGTATATAAATAATGATAAAAGCAAGTGAGGGTATATAAGTGAAAGTTTTAAAGACTTTAGGGTATATAGTTGCTATAAAAAATAAGTGAGGGTGTATAACTGCAACATGGGGAAAACTATAGTGTATTTAAATGCAAATATAACTAATAGATGAAGCGGGTACTTACTTCTCCAATGCGATCCAATCAAAGTGCCAACCTATCGACTTTCTATCCATAGGATGCAAACTGACAATTATACCAGGAGAATTTTGTAATTCTTCCGTAGCACAAGGGGTTCTTCGCAAGTGTGTCCCTAATCCCGAAGTCCCCAAATCGCGATTGTCCTCCCTCGGCTCGTTGGAACTTGCACTGTT